TTAGATCGTTTAAATAGGGTGCAAACACCGGGGTTAGGGTTTTAGTACCTACAGGGTCTACTCGCCGAGTCCCACAACCCTACTCGCCGAATAGCCAGAGTTGAACCCGAGTTTAGACTTGCTTCTACTCGGCGAGTTAGTCCTTCAACTCGCCGAGTCCAAGGTTAAAATGCAATACATAAGGAGAGTTAATAATCAAGAATACATACCAGGAACCAGGTGCTACATCTATAGTGAGTTGCTATTGGTGGTTTAATAATTATGCCGCTTAATAAAGATGAAACCTATTATAGAGACCTAGTTCAATTAACTTTGATATCGGGTAGTCTCATTCAGGATGTACATGTGTAAGATAGGAATGAAGATCCTTGACACTTTCAGGTATTGATTGTATAAAATACATACCAGAGTACAAATTGTATTCCTTTTTGGATGACCAAAAATGGTGGGTCCACATCAGGCAATTGTAATGGTATGTCTACATATTCTTTTGGATGACCAATAATGGTGGGTCTAAATCAGGAAACTGTAATGGTATGTACGCATAATCTTGTAGATAACCAATAATGGTGGGTCTAGATCATGCAACTATAATGGTGTGTCTGCATAATCTTTTGGATGACCATAAATGGTGGGTCAAAATCAAGCAATTGTAAGGGTATGTATGGTCATCTCCCAGATGACAAACACTTGATTATTCATTAGGTGGGATAACCCTTCCTAATACTCGGAGACTAGGATCCGTGAGGATCGATTGGGGTGGGTATGTTTAGGTATGAGGGTTTATAGATATCCAAGTCAAAGACACATCTATATATTGTTTGGTAATAATTGGTTTTGTGGAATTAATATATATATATATATATATATATATATATATATATATATATATATATATATATATATATATAAGATTGTGGGTTGAAATCTCTATGTACTCACCAGGTTTCCTAACCTTACCTACTCAATTTCTTTGTATCACAGGTAGCTATAAGAAGATATTGATAGATAATGTATTTATCTGCTAAGAGATTAAAGAAGTTCATAAGCTACTTTAATATTGTGTAAGACATGTTTATGCTTATGTTTTGTATTAGTTATGACATCCCAAGTTTTAATAAATCAACAAAAAAAAATTTCTTCAAAAAAAAAAAAAAACTTTTTATGAGACAAATTCCACATTTACAAAAATCACTCTGATTTAAAGTAAGCATAAAGAAAAAGTTATAAAAAGGCCATAAGTTTGGGGATGTCACATGGTAAGCCTGGTGAGTCACATATCGATTAGATGTCTTATAAGGTATATGTAGAGTCTAAGATTTTCTCTTAAAAAGAGCCTTTACGAAGAGATGGGAGACTATAAGATAAAGACATAAGGGACTGTATCACACATAAAATGGGTTACATTAACACTCATCCTAAAAAATAGAGGATTATATATATATATATATATATATATATATATATATAGTCCAATATTGTCTCTCCAAAAGAGTCTACGGATATATGAGAGACTCCAACATATATAGAGACATAAGAGACTTTGTTGCACCTATGTATGATACACCAACATATCTCAAGAAAATGTATTCAAATGAGCAACAATATTTGAGGAATTACTCTTTTTTCTTCATTTAAAAAACCATCTCAAAAGATATAATTGGAGAAAAACATTGCAATAAATTTACGAGCACTTTTTTAAAGGATAAACATCAAAAAATCATAGCAAACATTACAAGACGGAACAATGTATATATGTAAATATGTAATGAAAAATATAGACATAATGTCCATCCCCAAATTCATTGCAATCATCTTATACGCTAAACATTCTCTATGTATAGATTGTTAAGTAGGGCATGTAGGTAAGTTACCACAAAGCATTATTAACAACCCATGGTTCAATCATTGTTAGTTATTTGTCAAACTAGGTAGCATGTGAACTTATCATAAATGTACCACACAAAACCTTTACATATCCCAACATGCTATGATGCATTCTAGAATGCCATAACAAACATCTCAATATCCTCAAATTAGATATAAATGTAATCTCAAGTGTTCGGACCATACTAGTTTCACAACCCCCCCCCCCCCCCCCCACACACACACACGTGTATATATATATATATATATATGATCATGATTTAAAAAACTTGTAAATATCTTGCAAGATGATTTAACATTTTACAAGATGTCCCTATTTTGTAAACTCTTTAATTACAAGTTATTTACTCAAAAGAATGCAAAAGATATTATATATTATTCTAGTCAACACATAGAATATAATAAAACAATCTCATAAAATATCAAAGCACAACGTCGAACATGTGATCATATTATACTACAAGAAATGTGAGCATTAGCAACGACAACCACTATTAGTAGCGATAACTACCAATCGTGTTGGTTGTCGCTGCTAATAGTGGTCGTTGTAGCTAATGGCGTTACCGCTTGTACCACCAGGTTTCTGGCCATTTCTTAATTAAGGGTTGTGGATCGAAATTCGATTATGAAAAGGCTTTGGTCTTGAGGAAGAAAATATTAGACCTTATTAAAGGATTGATAATGTTGGTTGTGAGATCTAATCCCTTGATTTATGTGTTGGAACCGAAGGGTGGAAAGGGAAAAGTTATAGATCGGTATTCTTGCATGGTTTATGTTTCTAGTTCCGTATATGATAAGACAAAAGTAAGTATGTAGGATTGTATGTATCTTTAATACCTTTCCGTTCATATAAAGGACGCCGAAAACGGAGTTGAAATGAAGAACTTATGGTTGTTTGAAGTTAAGCTGGGAAAAGGGAGTTTGACACTATGCGGGATGTACATTAGGTATGTAGGGTGTAGTGGCTGAAGGGTAGGACTCATTTTTAGTGGGCTATATAGGGTACAACCTATGTTACATTGGGCATAACTGCGCATAGTAAAATCCATAATTTTGGGGTTTTGAGCCCTATTTAAGGACTCTAATCCCTAAGGTCCTTTTTATCATTAGACTCTAACTCGAAGCCATCTTGTGCGGATTTTGAAGCATTTGAGGGTTTGCTTGTGTATTTTGTGAAGAAGGATTTCATTGAAGGTGTACTTGGGAAGTGCAAGGCTTGTAGATCCAAACTCTACTCTTCTTCAACATCCTCGAAGAGGTATAAAGCTTAAACCTTGATGATTCATTAGATAGATCTAGCTTATTATGGGTTTTATAAGCTTTTTGTCCCTTGATCTTGGGCCTAGTGAGTATGACCTACTCCAAACCTGATGAGTGGCATTTTCTAATGATTCTGAGTTTGTAGAGTGATAAAAATGGGAGCTTGGTCACTTCCATCCTCCCATGCATGAGTATTTGGGAATTCAGGTGTGTTTTGGACTTGGGATTTGGTATTGTTCTCTTTTAAGCCATGAAAAGCCATAAAGTTAGGAACTTTATCACTCTATACATTTGTTAGGGCCAGATCTGAGCAATAGATGGTTGGCCTTTACGGATTAAGAGCTAAAAATGGAAATGGCTTAACAACATGGTATATAGGGCGTACTATAAGTATGCATGGCTTACCACTACGTAGGGCGTAAATTGATTGTAACAATTGGAATCCTGGTATGTCCTTTCTGGCCCTTGTGTATTTGATAATTGCATTTTGGTCCTTATGTTGTACACGGGGTGTACCACATGGTACGCTTGGCGTACAAGTTGCAAAGCAAGTACATGGAGCGTACCACATGGTACGCTTAGCGTACTCATGTATGAGGTGGGGATCGGGACTCCGGACACGTATACGTGTATGTACACGACTCGTACGCGAGTCATTTAGCAACCTTAATTTTCGGGGTTGGGCACTATATAAACATCATTATGGACCGTGAAACCCTCATTTCTCAGCCTCCTTTGTCTCTATAGCCTCAAGCATGAAACTCTACGCCTCTCTTTTGTATTTTAAGCTCATTATGTTTATTTTGGTGTGTTTTGGTTCATATTCAAGAAGTAGAAGCTTGGTACAAGGTGGTGAATCAAGGAAGAGCTTGTGGATCTCGTTTATTTGCTTCTTTTCCAACTTGTTTGAGGTAAAAAGATATGAACTTTCTCATTAGTGGCTTAGATCTGTCATTTATGAGTTTTGGTCCCTTTTTGGCCCCAAGAATGTGATCTAGTGGTTTGATGCCACTCCAGGAGCTATGAGTTGCCACTCTTGGTGTTTGTGAGGTTCTAAATGCATAAAGTTGTCACCTTTAGGGTTTAGATTCACCCTTGCAAGATTTTATGTCCATTTGTTGAAAGTAGGGTGTTATATTTTGAAGTTGGGTCTTTATGGGGCATGCAAAGGCACCAAGTCAGTGACCTTATGGTTATAGACATTTATTAGGACTTGGATATATGGTTTGGGCTTTTGGTCTTAAGAATTAAGTGCTTAATGAGGATTTTGGATTATTGGGTGAGTACGTTGGTTGTACAAGTCTATACGCACGGTGTACAAGGCATTTAGCTAGTACACTTAGCGTACATCTGAGTACGCCCTGCGTACTTAGTCTGTTGGGCTTGGTTTTGGGGGCTTCAAGTTTGGACCATTTTATTGGGCTTGGATGCTTGGTTTCTTGTTGGGCCATCTGAGAATAAGTGTATTGGACTAGGAAAAGTTATTGGGCTTTAGGGTAAGGCCGATGAGAGGGTTTGGGCCCAATTTGGAAAATTGGGCCTAAGTGGACTTTGGATGATTATCTAGTTTTGGGCCTTTTTGATTTTGAGTTTGAGCCTTAGTCTTGGGCCAAACTAGGCGAGGGGTAAAATGGTCTTTTTACCTTAAGTATGGATTGCTGGACTTATGGTTATGGTTATGGTTATGAACCCAAATGTTAATTGGGTATTGTTTTGGTATTGATTAGCTCGAGGATTCGTTGGACCAGTAGCCAAGGATTTTTCAGTGAGATTCAGTAGTCGAGGTGAGTTTCCTCACTAGGTTTAGCAGGTCTAAGGCACCAATGTTGGCCCTTGTTGTATATGTTAGGATATTAGGAGTCTATGTAACCCTTGTGTGTGTTATGAGTTATCAATAACCAAATTTCCTCTGGAGCTTTAGTAAGAACTGCATGAAAATGAAGCTTCAAGTAGTTGTAAACATCTTCGCTCTTGAATTTATCCGACATTTTGAACTGAGGCATCAGGAACATCATCTCATTAATTGGGAAGTCAAGCTGACTCATGTCTGGATTAGAAACCACATAACTCTGTTTTGGTTTCTTTTCGAATGCATACATGTGTCTGAATGCCACTTTCGCTTTAATCGTCTCGTAGTTGTAATGTTTGGCAGGATCTCTTTTGTTCAAACCAGGAGGATCACTCGCACTTTGCCTCATTATGCTTTGAACTACTCCTAACTTCTCAATCTCAGCTTTGGCCTCTGCTTTCTTCTCTTCCTTTGATTTTTCAACAACAATCAGCTTGCCTTTGCCTGTTGATTTTTGTGTAGCATCTTTTGCTTTCGAAGAATCAGCTTGATCAGTAGATGAACCAATTACAACTCCCTTCGAAATTGGCTTCATGATTGGCATTGATGTCACAATTGTTGAGGTAACTGGCCCAACACTTGAAATTGTTGGCTTAGATGATGGAAGCTTTGAAGGAAAATTTTTGCCAAAAACTTTAACCTCTCCCTGCGAAGCTTCACCTCTAGCCTTCGCATGAGAAGCTTCTCCAACTCTCTTCTCTCCCCCTTGCACCCATGGTTGAATAAGTAGGGCACTGGTTAGTAGAAGATTCGAAATGGTAGATAACGGAGCCAATTTCTTATGAAGAATTGCTTCGAATTGTGAAATTTTTTGAGAAAGGACTTCTGGAGTAATTATCGAAGATGTAGCAGACTTGAGCACTTACTCTTTTAAATCCTTGAGCATCGCAATAACCTCCCCAAACTGTTGATTGTCAGTTGTAGAAAGTTGAGTAATTTGAGGACTCAAGCTTTCATACAACTTAACATATTTCGTGACAGCATCACAAATGATATCAACCTTTTTATGTAAAGTTGCATAATCATGTTAACAACAACATCTTCTTTTACCATATCATCACGAAGCTCTTGAAGCTTCAAGTTAACATCTTCTCTCAATTTCTTCACATCCATAACAAACAATGTATGTCTTTCTTTTTGAACATTGGTTAATTCTTTGACAGCTCCCACATACTTTGTATTGAAAGAATTTATTCTTAACTCTGTGGTGTGATCAGATTGATCAACCTTCTCCAATATTTTGGACTCAATGTCTTTAATCATACCGGACACTTTGCTCACTATTCGTGCTTCGAAAGCCTTCATCAGTCCATCAATTTCAAAACTAGAAACATAACTTCCTCCCCCATATCTGCTTGAGACTAAATAATGGAATTCAACTTTTTATTCATAATTTTGAACTGTTTCATGGACATCAGCATATGGTCAGGGAAATATTCTTCTTCATCATCAAATTCCAGATCTTCGAAAGTGCCTCCAAAACCACCTTCTTCGTTATCAGACTCATCAATCGTTTTTGGTGGAACAGTGGATTGTGATGAAAAAATTGATGTAAAGGGTTGGTTGATGATGTTTTCAAAGGTTGGTGATTCAGTGGTGGAAGTAGTAGGGATGATATATGGACGTAAGGAGACAAAAGTACTAGTAATAGGTTCGACAGAAATAGCAATTGGAGTACCTTGTTGAGCTTGTGTAGTTTCCTTAGATAGATCTCCTTCACCCATGATGACATTTACATCCGTATCAGATACGTTTGTAGTGACGTCTGAAGTCCGTACCTCCTCATGAAATGATTTGGCA